GGGGGGGTACTCCCAAAAAAGTTGGGTGGGGGTGTGCAGCCCACTTCCCAAAACCCTTACCCTATTTATAACCAAAATCTGTCATTTTTACTACCCTAATTATGACCTTGCCAAAAATTTGATACCCTGTTTATGACCTTTGTAGCTGGAACAGTTGCCCTAAACATAAGTTATGAAGGGCTTTAGTTGACGGTCTTATTGACAATGATCGAAAAGTAGCTTCTAAGAAACATACCCAATTCAAGACTAGAGTGCTAAAACCATACCCTATTTAAGCCCAAAATGGCCAAAACCGATATCCCATTTATGACCAAAATGGCTGAAAAACCCTACCCTTTGGGGCCCTCCCCCGGGGGGTCGAGACGAAATGTACTAAAACTCGAAAAGTTACATACCCGTAATGTGTGGTTTTATGATAACCAACCCTCTCACACAATTTATAACCCTCGTCTGATTGAAGAGGAGTGTTGGTTACTAGTGCAATTCCCATGCTATGAAGCGAATTAAGCCACTCGTACAGTTTGCGGTCATCCTCGATCACCTCAGCGAAGTCATAGCGAGGAATTTTTCCTTGAAGTTGATCTGCTTTCCAGAAAATCACTCCCTCTCTGTTTAGCGTTGATGGTCGTTTCGATGTATCTTGTTCTTCCGTCAAGCGTCTGTGGTGAAGCCACTCCGACTTAAACACGCTGACATGTTCATCTGGCCAAGTGACGGAAACTTCTTTGCCGTTTTGCAAAACATCAACTCGATCTGGTTGAATGTCCACCTTTAATCGGCCCACCGTATCGAACGATCTTTGGAGAGAAGATTCGTGAAAACATTCTGGACACTGACAGTTGTCTCGCAAGTAGACAAACGGGTAGCGGTTAACAGTGTTGTTGTTCCATGTCACATGAAGCATTCCATTTGAGTCTGCTTTGTGGATGTTCTTCACCGTTGGATCTCTTGTAGATTTAGCTGCAGCAGGATAATTTACTTTCAGAACTGAGGAAGTGTTGAGCAATCGCCGAGTAACAGTACGAAATTTGAATACGTGCTTTAACTGGGAAAGCATTGCTGCCGTGAGAAACACTTAATGTTAGTTAATGTTCCCGCTAATTAACAATTGGACCCGTAGCCCTTGCGGGCTACGGGTCAATAGCTCACGAGGCGAAGCCTAATGGGCTATTGAACCGTGGCCCCTGAGGGCGAAGGGTCTAATTGTTTTAGTATCACCCAACTAGTCGGACAGAAAAGACAATAATAAAGTTAGCAAATGCAAGTCGAAGAAATATTTATTTGGGAAAAGCGTCACGCTCGATCGCGCCAATTTCGCTACTCGAGGACTATTACTAATAGAACTCTAGTAGCGTAGCCAATTAAAATGCAGGATTTGCATTAGTCCACTAGTTGGGTGATACTAATAGAGGAGAGTACATTAGCCAACATTAGTCCCGGTGGTACTGTATCCTATGCCATATATGGATGTGCTCGTCACGGAATCTGTCTGCTCAAGCTGAGGAACACGTGACGAGCGAAATGCTGATGGTGATCTGCAGTAATTTGTTTTAAAGTAAGGGAAAATCTTTTTTTCTGTACTAATCTCCATGTATAGATTGTTTTTGCACCATTTTCTGTCCATGGCATTAGCCCCAATCGGCGGTAACCTTCCTACTCCATGCAGAGAGTCATCATAGAGTTTCATGCGTGACGACCAAGACTGAGCAGTCAGTCAGCACGGTCGTCGTTCAGCGGATTTTAACATGTCGCGCAACATGCAGGAAGCGTCGGCGCAATCATACCCTGTGGAGGGCGAAATGAAGTGATTTGATTTGCGTGGTAAATGTATTCAACCGTTCCTCCTCCACAACAAGGTACTTCTGGCATTGAATGTGACGGTGGAAAAGAGAAAGAAGGTCCTCCGCGCGGAATATCGGAAGAAAAATGGCAGGTAAGCAAGCTCCATGTGAACCGGCCTTATCATTTGATAAGGCCGGTGATCAAGCTAGCACGGCAAATTTCAGCTCTGGTTTAAATTTCATCCCGGTGAAGGGACAGGAATTTTGTTGGAATTACATATCGAATTTCAACCCCTGCTGAAATATAGTCTTGGGCGTTAAACATCAATTTTGGCACCGTTTCATTGAAAACACAATCGCTGCACATACTATTTCCATCACTTATACTTTGATGTTTCAATACTACCACTCTTTATCATGTGGTCCCAGAATAAAGGTATCACACAAATTCCCAATCATTAGTAAACAAGATATAGTTATCTTTTTTAATTTTATATAACAGGTTACCCTAGCAACAGGACAACCTAGTAGATCTACTCTAAAGAAACACTCTTAATTTTATCTTCAAGTGCTTATAACTCAAAAACGAGCTTGGTGACCCCCATTTTTTGTATTGTAAAATTGAGATAAGCATGATCAGAGCATTCTGTCTTCAAACACTTTAAATTTATGGAAAATGTATAGTGGCTCTGAAGCTCCTAGACAGAGTTTTTTTAAACTTGGCAAAAAGCTTTTTATTTTATTTGATCACTTTTAAATTGGTTTAATCCAATTTTGGGCCATTTTGAATTCTACTGTTTTAAATAGCTATTATGGGATGCTTAGGGGACAAATATATACCAATTTGCCCTATGAGCATCCCATAATAGCTATTTGAAACTTACAATAGAATTCAAAATGGCTGCTGTAATGCTGAAAAGGTCCATTTTCTATTTCTCGTGATTACTGACCCCATTACTCCCACTTCTCTGTCCAGTTACTTCAAATATGAACTTTGATCTGGGCTGAAACCTTTTCTCCTTCATAGCAGCCAACTCAGAACCACTGTGCATGACTGTGGATTGTGTATAGTCTTTTCTCTTGTCTATTGTTGATTGGTATTCTTTTACATTATTAATCCAGCTGTTTGTGTGAATAAAAATTGTTGTTGTTATTCCAATGTGGGATTAAATTGCATTTGGCTCACATGGGCTGAGAAACTTCGCTGGAATTTAGAACCTGGGCTGAATTTCAGTTTTGACTGAATCTTTGTCCATGTAGTCGCCAACTTCATTTGAGGAGGACTTGTTTCAGAAGCTGGGCTGAAATCTCAACCATCCTAACCAGACTGAAACTTCAGCGTGATTGAAATTCTCCTTGTTTATCCCCTTGGGCTTAGTACAGAATAGGCCGGTAGATTTTTACGTCTGTGTGACATTAATTTTTCATCTAATGCATGCCACTCAACTTAGCCAAAGGTCATCATCATTATCATCGTCATCTTGTCCTCTTTGTCCCATGGGGGGCATAGGGCGTCCTCAGTCTCCTTCCACCTCTGTTGGTCTTGAGGCGCACTTTTGGCCTTGCACCAACTCAAGTTGGCATCCGTCAGGTCTTTCAGGATGCTTCTGCACCACGTGATTCTCGGTCTGCCATGTTTCCTTGTGCCTGGTGGATCCCAGTCTATCACGTGGCACGCTATGTTCCTCTTACCCCGCCTTAGTTTATGACCAATCCATTTCCAGCGTCTTCTCTTAATGGTGGTGCTAATAGGCTCTTGACCGGTTCTTAAATATTTTCAAAGTTGTTTTCTTGGCCATTGTTTTGACTTCTGCACGATATTTTTGTACTATAACAGAAATTTCAGCAATTGAGAGAACGTAGAATCAAATGCTGCAAGCTTTCAACAGAGAAGAGACTTAAAGACATAAAGAAGAAAGCAACAAAATCAGGTATTTGAATAATTGACTGCGAATGAGCAGCAATATTCTTAACTCTAATACAAGAAACAGAGATACTTTACAGTCTGTAAGATGACAGAATTTTCTTTCAGCTTGACAAAAGTGAGACACTGAAAAATCCCTTGTAACAATGATATTATCATTGATATAGCCATATTTTGATAATTGGCAATAAAGTTGATAGTTAACAGTTACTTGTGATAATAAAGTTAACAGTTACTTGTGATAGGCCAGATTTAGAGTTCTCGCCTTATGATGAATTTCTATTTTTAAAGTTTTGGATAACCTGACAAGTGATGTGGAAATTGCAGTACTTCGTGACCAAGGTGTAATCCAGCAAGGACACAATAAACACAAACCAAACAAATCATCCCATCAACTAGAAAAGTAAGTTCAGGGAATGTTATTACAGTAATTAAATATGATATATAACTAATCTTCCAAATGAATAGATTGTTAGCAGTCTCTCTTTTGCTAAAAAAATCCCCAGGGAAGAATGCATGAACAGAGACCAGTGGCAAAGCCCTAAGCCATGAGTAGCACAGTTGTCAAAAGATGAGCGTTTGTTTGGATTTGTGTTCTTCCAACGCAGATCTTTGAGCAAGAGGGGCTGCTTGCAGTCTACCCAATGAATTTGACTACCAAAATAATAGACCTCATCA